GGCGGGCTCGGCACGTGGAGCTGCGCACACGCCCGAGCCCATCACAAAGGAGGAGGAGGTTCCTTGAAGGAGGCGTCATTGAGTCTGATTATCATGTGTGGGAGAGACTCCCGGAGAGGAATCGGACTCCTTAGTCCCCGACCTCCGCATTTCCTCTCCCGGAGTGTCCTCTAGTCCTCTTAGTTGTGTGCGGTCCCACCTCGTGCCTCTTCCATAGAGATTAGTATAAGACGTCCCTCAATAGTCATTCCACGGGTCTGGTAGAGATGAATCTGAGGACAAGCATGAGCAGCACTGGGATCGTGTGTGATCAAATGTCACTTCAGTACTAACCAGATGTACTCTGCAGGAGGACGGTGGTCCAGCACGTCATCCAGTCCTATCAGAGACTCCCGGGAAACACTCTCTTACGCAGCTTTCGTGTCACATACAAGAGACATGTGTTAACCATGGACGACCTGAGCACCCTGTATGGCCAGAACTGGCTCAATGACCAGGTAAAGAACACGTCTGTGATTACCAGTATAGCGGGGGGCTAGGCAACCTCGGCGCTCCAGCTGTTAAAGAACTACAAGTCCCACGAGGCAATGCCAGACCTCTGACAGCCGCAGGCGTGACTCCCAGAGGCAGAGGTGTACTGGGATTTGTAGTTTCACCATAGCCGGTGTGTGCTGAGGTTGCCTGCCCCCGCCGTATAGTCTGTGCAGGACAAGGACGGAGCTTTATTTTTATTTCTGTGTTTTGCAGGTGATGAACATGTACGGGGATTTGGTAATGGACGCCGTACCAGACAAGGTTTGTTCCCTCTGATGTTTGATGTGGAGCGATGGGGGGTCAGTGTCATAGGAAGTGGTCACATCAGATGCGTCTTGTATGTTCAATATCTCCCATGTTAAAGTAAATCTAATCCCTAACTTCCTATGCTGCACCACAATCGCCTACAGAGTTCTCTGAGGACTACAGAATCACACCCCTGTATGTTACGGACAATAGGAGAGGGGTGCGTTGGATTCTGTAGTCCTGTGCAGTGTCTGCATGTGCCTTGGCTGCCATAGATACGCTACCGGTGCACAGTGTGTACATGACAGCACTGATAGTATACGGTATGTATCACTTCCAGAATGTTCCATGGAGAGGGGAGGAGATAGAAATCATTGCTGGTCTAGTAGTCACCAAGCCAAGCTCAGAACATCCCATTCTATGATCCCTATGAATCTTCTTTTTACTGCATTCTAATTGGCCATCTCAGTTCCTCATGGGTTGTCACATGTGTCTGACAGCAAAGTCCTCCAATCACAAATCAGTAAATGGTCAGTGTTGTCACCCTAGGACAGGTTGTGTATTAGTGGCGCCAGTTCAAAGTAAAGGGGGACGGGACGACTTCACTTTAATGATCCTGTTCGTGCCCCCCCACCCCCCCTTCCTCTTCTCTAAATCATAGTAAATAATAGATGAGGTAACAGGAGTGAGACTTCTGATTTGGTGGAGCTGGAAATACAGTTCAGTGTCCCAGCAATTCACCCTTCCACATAGCACTTCTTTTATTAGAATTGTCTCCCATCATTGCGTTCAGATTTCAGACCACAACGCAGCTCTGTCGCTGGGGAAAAAATGCATCAAATAAATGAAAATAAAATAAAATAATAAAATACATTAAAGGAGAACTATGGGGTTAAGGCTTTTCCCCATAGTTCTCCTTAGGGTAACGGGAGGACAGTATATAGGGAGCTACAGCTCGCGGTATACTGAGACGCCGGAGAGGATCCCGACATCGATGTCGAGATCCGCCCAGCTGCGTGAGTGACAGCTGGCTCTGCCTATCTAGAGGCAGAGCCAGCTGT